CTGCCAAACTGTTGTCTAGAGTATCTGTAGTACTGTGCATTTTCGTCAGTGATGTACGATGATCCAATTTCAAAATACACTTGTTAGCATATGGCATTATTAGTCTTATTTTTAGCCATCCTTATAGGTAGATATAGTAACATCTCAGGGTGGTATAATTTACATTTTCTTAATAGAGAATGATGAATATCTTGTGCTAATGGCATAGTACACTTCACTGAATGTATCTTCATGTTTTACTTTTTCTCTAATTAGTTTTTCTTTTTTTTTTTGTGATATCTTGTATTGTTTTATTTTTTATTTTTTTAAATTTTTTTAACTCTTTTTTTTATTTTAAAGAATAAAAGAAGGATAACATAATAATAGGGGGGACTTAGCAAATTACAGACAAAATGGTAGGAAATTATCAATGGTTACCATTTTACATATTATTGTCTACAAAATAGTTTCTCAGGAAAACAAATAGACAAATAATAGTGAGTTACAGACAAAAGAGGTAGGAGATTATCAAGTTGTTGTAGTATACTTTGGTATCTTCAAAGTGGCTTCTAAAGAAAATAAATAGAGCTATACATGAGTGACCTACTGAAAAATCATTAACTCTTCTCAATGGTGGTTGTAGGAAACACATAATAATAAACATACATCCATTTATGAAATAGGATAGGAACATCACAAACTTTACACAGTTATGGATAGATTAGTAGGAAAATATCAATGGCTGCTGTAATACGTGGTGGTTCTAATTAGTTTTTCTACTGTTGAGTTTTTCCTTTCATGGATCCTCTGACATTTTCCTGAAACTTCTATAGTTTTACATTTAATTCCCTGGTCCATTTTGAGTTAGTGTATGTATAAGTCACAAGATTAAGTCCAATACCTTTCTTTGTGTGTTGGGGGTGATGTTGTCTCAATTGCTTTATCGACATTTTTTGAGAATGCTAATCTCCCTCCATTAAAGTACTCTTGTACCTTTGTCAGAATGCATTTGGCCATATTGGTATAGTTGTGTTTCTGGGTTCTCTGTTTTCTTCCATTGTCCTGCATCAATATCGCTTTGCCATCCATTACTCTTTCTTGACAGGCAGTCCCATTTGGAGCTATTTGTGTATCTGTTTTGCTGGCCTTCACCTTTAAATCTAGGGACTCTATATGACTGTGTCATTCCTTGGTTTCTGAGGCCTCTAGCTGTCTTCATTTTTCAGAGTTTTCTGTTGTTTTATATATAATATTCAGGAAATATAGTTATAAACAAAATGAATAGGGAAAGAACAACTACTTTGACCTCCCAGAACTGAAAGTCCTCTGTCTAGTTCTTCTTTTCCTTTCTTGTTTTGTGGATTTTTTTTTTTTTTTTTGCTTTTTTTGTTTTTTTTTTTTTGCATGTGGAATGAGGTAGGACTGTTTTTTCCCAAATACATAGCCAGTTGTCCTACTATCAGTTATTGAATAAATTATTTTTCAGTAAATACAAATGCCATCCCTCTTATAAGAAATTCTCATATATTTGCATTTTTTATACAGACAAAAACTGACTTAAAAGACTTGCCTGATTGACCCTTTCCATTTGTGTTATGGAGCATAATAACTTGATACCCATGGCACTCTTCAATTTCTACCAATTAAATTGAATGTATTTACCAGGATTCAGACGTAAGACTTCTTCTAGGGTTGCTTTTAGTTAAAAGAAAAATGGTACTAAAGAGTTGCTTTTGTAAAAACTAAATGGATTGCTTTGGAAAGACTTATCAGTGGAAATCAGTGTAAAAAGTTACTTGATTTTTGAATAAGGTCCAGTTGAGACATAAAAATATTTGGGCAGAATATGCCCCAAAATGTGTTTTGTATTCAGATTGATATCACCAGTGCTATTTGAAGTATAGTACCCTAACTTTTAAAAGGCCTAAACTAGAACTTACAGTTTGTACCTTAGGAAAAATGCCTTATGCAACCACATATATGTGGGTGCTTCCTGAGCCTTTATCAGCATTCTTTTGGTCAGTGTTCATACAGTATCATATTATTCTAAATTGCCTCAGCATGTTTTAGTACCTTTTGATATCCAATGGGATAACTTTTCTTGTAGTGTAAACTGTAAGTAGAAAATAACAGAAAATTAAAACAAAACTGACTTGACACCATAAAGAAACTTACTAGTTCAGGAAATAGGGGTTCAAAGTGAAGTAGACTTCGATGCTTTAATAACTCTGGCTCTATTTCCCAGCAATTCTCTTTTTCCCTTGCCAGTCAGTTTCATCTCCCAGCTGGAAACCAGAGGGCTACAGTAGTTCCCTTCCTCATCTCTATGACAGAGTCCTGAAATCTGTGTTTTTAAGAGCCAGTCAACTTTTCCCTGAAGTCTGTAGCATACTTTTACTTGCATCCCTTTGACCTTAAGTGGAGTAACCTAGCAAGGGAAAGATTGTCATTGATCTACTTGTATAGGTTCTTACTCCCTGGCTTTTAGAGTCATTTGGGTAGGTTTAAAAATACTAATACCTGATTTACTCTAGACTGATTCGACTCTTTACTCTGAAGTACAGACCCAACTGCTATATATTTTAAAAGTTTAGTCAGTAATTCCGATATACAGATGGGTTTTTGATTAATCCAAAGTTACCCTTAAAACCAAAGTCAGTTCCTTAAATTGCATGGCTAAAACAGTGCTAGAGAGGTACTAAGAGAAAGGGTAGTTGGGATACAGTTTGGAAAAGAAACATTGATTGCTGAATGTAACCTGCAATGTCAGTGTTCCCAAATATTTATTGCCAGAATTATACATTCACTTTTCTAGATTTTCAAACCAGTTCATCAAGTTTCCGAATAAGTTCCATTGGGACCTAGAATTGAATTTCATTAAGTTTATGGATCACTTGGGCAGTGGTGGGACACAGGGAAAGATTGTAAGTCACTGCCCAGGATTCTTGAAAAATACTTGCTTTCAGCTTGCCATTGTCTCAGAAAACTTACGTTAACTTTTTTTGCATCATGTACCAGGAACAATTTCAACTTGGCCAAAATTATTTTGAAGTAATTTTAAGCAGAAAAGGCACATGTGCACCAATATTTTTTTCTCATTTTACTGCTCATCATTTGTTTTTTTTGTTTTTTGTTTTTGGTACCAGCAATCAAACTCAGGACATTGCACTTACCAGGCAGGCTCTGTGCCAGTGAGCTACATCCACGACCCTCATCATTGTTTCTTGAACACAACATCATCATCTTTTTTGTAGTGTTAACTTTGTGGATTAAAGTGCATTTCCCTAAGGACATTACAAATCTTGCTTCATTGTTGATAAAAGTTTGCTAGTTAATATCCCAAACTAAAAGCTGAATTTATTTGTATACTAAGTGATGAGTAGCTGTTCATGTAAGACAGTCTCTCTGAAGAAAGCAAAGATGAATCTAGATTTAGGGATGAGATTGTCTTGTAATTTTTTTCTTTGTTCTAAAATAGTTTACTTAAATTAGAATTATTTGTTCCTTGAAATTTACTAAGACTTGTCTATAAAACCCTGTGGTCCTGGTATTTTCTCCATGAGAAGATTTCATAATGATTGATTCAAATTTATTTTTAACTTTTCTGTAAATTTGCATTTCACTTTGTTTTAGATTTATTAAAATAATTATAACATAGCTGGGTGTGGTGGTGCATGCCTATACTCCCAGCACTTGGGAAGCTGAGGCAGGAAAATCACGGTGAGTTCAAGGCCAACCTGGGCTATAAAGGCCTGCATAGTGAAACCCTCTCTCAAACAAAAATAAATAAAACTATTTGTAATATTGCTATGTCTTTTGAATTTGCAGTATAATTGTGACTTTCCATTCATGGCTTTTGAGTGAATTTTTTCTTTTTGAGTTTTTTTGGGATTTTTTTGTTTGTATTGTTTTTTGAGACAGAATCTACTCAGATTGGCCCCAGACTTGCTATGTAGCTCATGCTAGCCTTAGACTTGTGATCCTCCTGTTTCAGCTTCCCAAGCACGAAATTATAGTCTCTACCATGTCTGGCTATTTTTTTTTAATTGATCAAACTTGCTAGAATATATAAATTTTATTTTAACAGAGAACTACCTTTTTGTTTATCGAACTTTTCTGGTATATTTTTCTTTTCTGTTTCATTATATTCCACTCTTGTTTGTAGTTTTTCTTTCCTACTCTAGCTTCTTCTGCTTTTCTAACTGCTTAAGATAGATGTTTGTTTCATTAATCAGCGTTCTTCTTTCTTTCTTTTACTTTTTTGATACTGGGGACCCTGTTTCAAAAACAAAATCTAGGACCTTGCACATACTAAGCATGCACTTTGCCACTGAGCTAAACCCCTAGCTTTGCTGTTTTCAGATGTAACTATTTAAAACTAAAAGTCTGCCTCTACATAGCACTTTTGCAGCATTTACAAGGTTAGTCTTTTATTTCTTTCTTTCTGTTTTCAAAATTCTGTATGATTTCTTTTCAGACTCATGAGAGTTTAGAATTTTGCAAACATTTTTTAAAAAGCTTTTTGTTATAATTGCTAGAGAATACGGTTAGAGTATACCAGTTAGTGAAAGTTGTTGAGACTCCATGGCTTGTTATATGATCAATTTTTGTGTATGTTCCATGTGTATTGTTCTGTTTGGAAGTAATATTCTGTATATCTGTTACATTAAACTTATAAGTGATAGTTTTAACTAATATTTTCACCTCTGTTTTTTACTGGTATAAATGCATTAAAAATCATTGTCTGTCATACTGGATTTGTCACTTTCTCCTTTTGGTTCTTACCAGTCTGTTTTTTGGTTTTGTGCCTTCTAACTATGTAGAAAGGATAAGCATTGCTCGGAAAACAATTTATGTAATATTAGTATAGCAATACAGATTTGTAAAACTTGGTGTTTTTCTGTTGTATTTTCGTCCTATTTTTACTTTCAATGTCCTTAGATTTTTAGGTATGTCTTTTGAAAAGTGTGTAAACAACTACCACTTAACTTTGTATAAAAATATTTTCTATGTGCTTACAGTGCTGAAACTGTTGAAATATGGCAGAAGAAGTGGTGGTAGTAGCCAAGTTTGATTATGTGGCCCAACAAGAACAAGAGCTGGACATCAAGAAGAATGAGAGATTGTGGCTTCTGGATGATTCTAAATCCTGGTGGCGAGTTAGAAATTCCATGAATAAAACAGGTTTTGTGCCTTCTAACTATGTGGAAAGGAAAAACAGTGCTCGGAAAGCATCTATTGTGAAAAACCTAAAGGATACCTTAGGTAAGTTGTTTTTGTGCGTGCGTGCCTGTGTGTGTGTGTGTGTATGTGTGTGTATACACACGTTTTTTAAATTTTAAAGATAAAAGGATGAGCACACATTAACGTACACACAGACATAAACAGAACAACACAAAAACAGTAAAAGCAGTACAGAATTTCAGACAAGGTAATAGGAAATTAACAATGGCTGTTGATTGTATATTCTTTTAAATGGATTCTGGAGCTTAATTCTGACAGTGTCAGCAGAATTGACTTGAAAAGGCTAGAACTGGAATTTCAGCTAAGCAAGGTAAATTTGGCTCAGAGCAGGTACTTAAGCCAACAGACTAGTGAAGGGTGTAAATCTAGACCCAAATTCAAAGATAAAATGGGGCTAATAAGCAGAACTCTCACCTTCTAGCAAGAATTCCTTGAATCATGAGTGCCTAATGTAGTTTAGACTTAGAAGAAAATTCTCTCTAATTTAGTAAGGGAAAAATAAAATGCAGAATTGCCTCCTTGAGCATCAAGGCACATTTTACATGGCATATTACTGAATTTTAACATCTAGTGGCTTAACATTTTAAACTGCATTTTAAAAAATAAACCATCATTATATTCTTTTATTTGATACAAGTCTTGAACTATGGGTTATTATTGTACATTAGCATCTACAGGACTGATTTCTTTCTCTTTCTTTTCTGCTTTCTCTTTTCCTGCCCTCTCCTTTTTTCCTCTGACTATAAATTTGTTTGTGATTAATTTTTACTGTTCTTCCATTAGGGCCAGTTGACGGTTGGACCTTCTTTATTCACACTGGTCTTGTCTAAGGTGATAGGAAGGAAATACATATGGGTGAAGACTTCCCCCTCCCCTTTAATTAAACATTCTAGCTGACGGGAAGGAACTGGGAGGGACAGAAATTAATTTTGGTGTTCAGGCAGACACAGTTATTTAATTGTTCTTTGTCAAGGATTAAAAAAAGAAGTTTCTCCTTGGAAAGTTAGTTTGTGACCAGTGTAGCATGATTGACAGTACAGCGTGAAATATTTTGACTTACTGCTTTCTATTAGTTTTCTTTTTTTTTTTGTTTTGGTTTTTCTCCGGTACCGGGAACCGAACTCACGACCTTGCGCTTGCCAGGCAGGCGCTTTGCCGCTGAGCTAAATCCCCAGCCCCTTCTATTAGTTTTCATTTCTTATTCTGGAGTATTTTTATCAGCAGTAGAATACATGATTAATGTTTTTAATTATTGTAAGACAGCAAACATAAAATATAGTATAATTCAAAGAATTCTATAAGGTATTAGAATATGTTTTTGGACTAGATATTTCTAGCGTTCTAAAGTAATTTAAATAGAGATAATCACCCATGACATGTAACTGCCCAAATAACTTATCTCTATTTCAATCTTAAGAAACCTGATAACTTTATTAAAGTATTACAGTTATTACTACCTATATTCCAGGGTGATTTATAGTTATCCTGTATAATAATGTAAATCCAGCTTTTGCATTGGTCAGCGACCTTTTTCCTCAAAATTTCTACACTCCCTTTTGGTAACTTAAATGCCCATATAAATAAATACTGGATTTGTTTTGCAGTGATTGTACTAGTAGAGACATTATTTGGAAGTTAAGAAGGAGGTAACCAAAGAAAGGATGACTGTGAATGTATTTTTAACTATTAAAAAGATACATACTTTGTTTCTTCCAAAATAAGTGAATAATGAGGTCACATTTTTGGCCATCATGATTTACTTGATTTATAGGTTCTTTTGTAGTTTAGGGGAAAAATAGTTTTGGAGAGAAGCCTCAGAAAAACTCTCGCTGTTCCTTGGGTGTGGGCCAGGTCACATGGATTGGGTGTGGGAAGTTTCAGTGTTTACAGAGCAGACCAGGAAGCTCACTGGGAAGTATCCTGCTCAGTGTTAACCAACTTACGAAAGAGAGCACATCATTTTATTCAAAATGGATTGGTTAAACGTCTTTAAAGATTTTTTCAGTAAGTTATTCTTTTTATTAAATCTATAGTTTTGTTTTAGCTTTTGAATTAGAGTTTATGAGTTTAAAGGGAAGCTATGGAGAGAACTTGGTGATTTAATATTAGCTGGTATTTACGTTGTTTGTGTAATACAAGCTAGATGATTGATGATCTGTTAAATGCTGTTAATTTTGACTTAATGAATAAATCATTTAAAAATATTTTAATATGATTGTTTAAATTACAATTAGGAAAAAGATATAAATCTTTTAAATTTGATGTAGTTAATTCAAATTCAGTAACTTTCAATTTAGTATTGTATAACTCAGTCATAAACATTAAAAACATTAAGGAAAAGAGATTAGGTGAACAAATTCTTTTCTCTTCAACTTTTAAATTAATATGGTATCATTTTACTACTTTTAACTTAGATTTTATAAAGAGTGTAAGAGTCATATAATAAAAGCGTTAGTAAAATACTGACTTACAAGAGCCTGATCTGTGTCTGCTGATGGCCTTTTATGATCTTATAAAAGTAAACTTGATTTGATCAGAAGAATTATTGTAGAAGTTTGATGTACAAGGAACCTAAGGAAACAGAGTAACCTGTTGAGAGATTCTAGGGAAAAGTGATTCCAGGGAAAAGGGCAGAACAGAAGAGTAGTAAACGCTTTGTTGAAAAAGAATGTTCTCATTGTAATATGAGGGTTCATTTCTTTCTTTAGATAGCTTTGGTGGCTAAGTGAATCTCTGGACAGTGTCTGGTAACTGGATAACTTTTTGGAGAGTTATTAAATTTTACATTTCCAGTTTTGGGGTTAGTTACCTTTTTAGAGATTTTATTATTTATTCATCAACACTTTTATTTTACTGAGAGCCTATTATAACCCAGGCCAAAACAAAAAACAAAAAACAAAAAAATAACCCAGGCAGAAATCATTAAGGTTGAAAAACTCATATTAATTATTGACTAAACTTACATTCTGGTGCCTAAGTATATGATAGATGTTCTTTATTAGTAATATAATGAATTTTCATATCTAGGTATGATAATAAATAATATTAACTATAAATTAATAAGAAATGGTATAAAAACAATATATAGTATTATCAATACAGTGACTCAGTATATATCATTAATCAGTAGAATGATAACATTATTCTCTCTGCAGAGTCTTAGGAAGCTGTTAATCCTAAATACATGTGTAGTCTGAAGGCCAGAATTTTGAGATTTGTAACCAGAATATTCCTTCTTTTAATCCCTGCAGCACCTCAATATATTTTGCCAGGCAGAGTACAAACAGGCTATTCATTCGCCTACACCCTGGATGGATTTAAAAAGTAGAGGAAACAGGATATGTGCTCCCTGTGTAGTAGCCAGAATACCTTTGAAAACAAAAACTGTTTTATATGAAATGAATAATTTTTTCATTTAGATGAAACAAACATGAAAATATAACAGCTTAAATTAAAACCTGTAATGGATAGAACACTATAAATTTGTATTTAGAATTCTGTTGCTTCCAGATAAACCATTTACTAGCCCTATAGAACTAAACTTTCCTGATTTCCTGTTTTTTGTTTATATAGGAGAGAGTTGGGCAAGACTGATGATCCTGGAAAGTCCCTTCTAACTCTAAAAGTCTTATAGTTGTGGTAAACAACTAAGTGGTCTTATGTGTGTCAGGAATCAGGGGAAATCCATCAGAGAGAAATTAGTTTTGAAGAAGTAAGAACATAGTGGCAGAATGATAGTTCACTAAGGAATTAGAAAAAGCAGTAATACTTTCTTTGGATCCTTTCGGTTAACATTTATCCAGTGATGTAGGCAAAGGAAAACGACATTCTTAAAGTTAGGAATGTCATTCATGCTGGTAGCAGTACCTAATAAAAGAAACCAAGTTAGGTGCAGCGACATGGCCCTGTAATGCCAGCACTGAGGGAAGCTGAGACAAGAGAATCACAAGGGAGTGGGCATTTTAGTGAGACCCTGTCTCAAAATAAAAGTTAAAAGGGCTAGGGATGTAGATCAGTGGTAGAACACTCCTGAGTTTGATCCTCAGTACCACAAAACAAAAAACTGCAAAGATTGCAGAGAGCCTAGTTAGGTAGCAGTTTATGTGAGTACACGATTTAATAAGAGCTGCTGTAGTAAAGTAGGTGAAAGGATGCAATAGTCTTTTATGTGTATGCTGGCTAATTGAAACATGCTGTAGGTTATCCACCTTGGGTACTTCCATCATGGTACTGAGAAACTGACAGTTCCAAATACTGCCCTGAAATATAGAAGGATTTGGAAACCAGAGTATATAAGGAAGAGTTACTGATACTAAGATTTGCCTCATGAAGAAGATAGCTATCACATAAAGATGAAATGTTTTACAGTGCTTAATCAGGTTCTTAAAAAACTTGTGAGAAGCTTACAATGCATTGTTCTGGTTAAGATACTTGCTGTAGGAAAACAAAGAAATAAGATCAATAGATAGAAATGAGGAAAAGATTGGAAACTTGTAACTCTTTTTATTTTTTGGGCAAAGGTACAAATAAAAATGCCTCAGTTGTGTGCCTCTTTGGTGCTTAGATCTGAGCATTTTCTTCCCAACTCTAGCCAGGTCCAGCTACGTGATTTAACAGTAAAGGTTTAAGTAGTTTTCAAAAATTAAATACCAGACACACTAGCAGGTAGGAAAGTATTAGCTACCGTTGATTTGAGTTCATGCTATGTGCAGTGTCTTGTGCTGTGTATTTTACATACATACTTTTAAAAACTCTGTACAAAAATGTTATGATATAGGTACTTAACACCACCATTTTAAAGACAACAGAATTGGAGTTTAAAGACTATTAAATAATTTGACCAGGAACATGTAGGACTAAACTTAGATTTCTTTTGTTGGAAATTTTCATTATTTGACCTGTTATGACTAAAGAGTGAGAAATAGTCAAATAAGCAATGCATTAGAAAGATTTGCTGTAAAAAGACTGGTTGATGTTACAAGGATTGTAGTAAACGGGGAGATGAGGAAATGTTAGAATCT